TACAGAACTCTACACACAAAAGCAGCAGAAGGCACATTCTTCTCAACTGTACATGGAACATTTTCAAGAACCAATCATATACTAGGCCACAAAAAGAGCCTCAGTAAATTCAAAAGGATTGAAATTGTACCAACCACTTTCTCAGACCACAAAGGTATGAAACTAGAAATAAATTTACGCTAAGAAAATAAAAATTCCCATAAACACATAGAGGCTCCACAACATGCTCCTAAACAACCAATAGATCAATGACCAAATAAAAACAGAGATCAAGCAATATATGGAGAGAAATGACAACAGTAATTCAACACTGCAAAATCTGTGGGATGTAGCGAAGGCCATGCTAAGAGGAAAGTATATTGCAACATGAACCTACCTTAGGAAAGAACAATCCCATATGAACACTCTAACTAAACTCACAATTAATGAAACTAGAAAAAGAAGAACAAATGAGGCCCAAAGTCAGTAGAAGAAGGGACATAAAAAAGATTAGAGCAGAAATAAATAAAATCAAGAAGAATAAAACAATAGAGAGAATCAATGAAAGGAAGAGCTGGTTCTTTGAGAAAATAAACAAAATAGGTAAGCCCCAAGCCAGACATATCAAGAAAAAAAGAGAGTCTACACACATAAACAGAATCAAAAATGGGAAAGCAAAAATCACTACAGACACCAAAGAAATAAAAAGAATAATTAGAGAATACTATGGAAAGTTATATGATAACAAACTAGATAAGCAAGAAGAAATGGACAACTTTCTGGAAAAATACAACCTTCCAAGACTGACCCAGAAAGGAACAGAAAATCTGAACAGACCAATTACCAGCAATGAAATTGAACTGGTAATAAAAAAACTACCTAAGAACAAAACTCCTAGACCAGACGGCTTCACTGCTGAATTTTATCAAACATTAAGACCTAATACCCATCCTCTTTAAAGTTTTCCAAAAAGTAGAAGAGGGAATACTCCCAATTCTACAAGGCCAGCATCACTGTAATACCAAAACGAGGCAAAGACATGACAAAAAAGAAAAATTACAGACCAATATCCCAGATGAACATAGATGCAAAAATACTCAAAAAATATTAACAAACCAAATTCAAAAATACATCAAAAGGATCATAGACCATGACCAAGTGAGATTCATCCCAGGGATGTAAGGATGGTACAACATTTGAAAGTCCATCAACATCATCCACCACATCAACAAACAGAAGGACAACAACCACATGTTCATCTCCATAGATGCTGAAAAAGCTTTTGACAAAATTCAACATCCATTCATGATAAAAATTCTCAACAAAATGGGTATAGAGGGCAAGCACCTCAACATAATAAAGGCCATATATGACAAACCCACTGCCAACATCATAGTTAACAGAGAGAAGCTAAAAGCTTTCCCTTTAAGATCAGGAACAAAACAAGGATGCCCACTCTCCCACTTTTATTCAACATAGTACTGGAGGCCCTAGCCACAGCAATCAGACAACACAAAGAAATAAAAGGCATCCAGATTAGTAAGAAAGAAGTTAAACTGTCCGTTTGCACATGACATGATATTGCACATAAAAAACCCTACAGAATCCACTCCAAAACTACTAGATCTAATATCTGAATTCAGCAACATTGTGGAATACAAAATTAATACACAGAAATCTGTTGTATTCCTATACACTAATGATGAACTAGCAGAGAGAGATATCATGAAAACAATTCCATTCACAATTGCATCAAAAAGAATAAAATACCTACGAATAAACCTAACCAAGGAAGTGAAAGACCTATACTCTGAAAATTACAGGACACTCATGAGAGAAATTAAAGAAGATACCAATAAATGGAAACACATCCCGTGCTCAGGGATAGAAGAATTAATATTGTCAAAATGGCCATCCTGCCTAAAGCAATCTACAGATTGAATGCAATCCCTATCAAAATATCAACAGCATTCTTCAATGAACTAGAGAAAATTGTTCTAAAATTCATATGAAAACACAAAAGACCCCAAATAGCCAAAGCAATCCTGAGAAGGAAGAATAAAGCAAGGGGATTACGCTCCCCAACTTCAAGCTCTACTACAAAGCCACAGTAATCAAGACAATTTGGTACTGGCACAAGAACAGACCCATAGACCAATAGAACAGACTGAAGAACCCAGATATAAACCCAATCATATATGCTCAATTAATATATGATAAAGGAGCCATGGACATACAATGGGAAAATAACAGCCTCTTCAATAACTGGTGTTGGCAAAACCGGGCAGCTGCATGCAAGAGAATGAAACTGGATTATTGTCTAACCCCATACACAAAAGTAAACTCAAAATGGATCAAAGACCTGAATGTTAAGTCATGAAACCATAAAACTCTTGGAAGAGAATGTAGGCAAAAATTTCTTGAATATAAACATGAGCAAATTCTTCCTGAACGCATCTCCTCGAGCAAGGAAAACAAAAGCAAAAATGAACAAATGGGACTAAATCAAACTAAAAAGCTTCTGTATGGCAAAGGACACCATCAACAGAACAACAAGGCATCCTACAGTATGGGAGAATATATTTGTAAATGACATATCCGACAAGGGGTTAACATCCAAAATATATAAAGAACTCACATGCCTCAACACCCAAAAAGCAAATAACCCTATTAAAAAATGGGCAGAGGATATAAAGAGACAATTCTCCAAAGAAGAAATTCAGATGGCCAGCAGACACAAGAAAAGATGTTCCACATCACTAATCATCAGGAAAATGCAAATTAAAACTACAATGAGATATCACCTCACACCAGTAAGGATGGCCAGCATTGAAAAGACTAAGAACAACAAATTCTGGCAAGGATGCAGAGAAAGGGGAACCCTCCTACACTGCTGGTGGGAATTCAACCACTGTGGAAAGCAATATGGAGGTTCCTCAAAAAACTAAGAATAGAAATACCATTTGACCCGGGAATCCCACTCCTTTGAATTTATCCAAAGAATACAAGTTCTCAGATTCAAAAAGACATATGCACCCCTATTACAGCACTATTTACAGTAGCCAAGATATTGAAACAACCTAAGTGTCCATCAGTGGATGAATGGATAAAGAAGACGTGGTACATATACACAATGGAATACTATTCAGCCGTAAGAAAGAAACAAATCCTACCATTTGCAACAACATGGATAGAGCTGGAGGATATTATACTCAGTGAAATAAGCCAGGTGGAGAAAGACAAGTGCCAAATGATTTCACTCACTTGTGGAGTATAACAATGAAGCAAATCTGAAGGAACAAAACAGCAGCTAACTCACAGACTCCAATAAGGGACTAGCGGTTACCAACGGGGAGGGGTCTGGGAGGGCGAGTGGGGAGGGAGGAAGAAGGGGATTGAGGAGTATTGTATTTAGTACACAGGGTATGAGGGGTCACGGGGAAGACAGTGTAGCACAGAGAAGGCAAATAGTGAATCTATGGCATCTTGCTGCACTGATGGACAGTGACTGCAATGGGGTATGAGTGGGGACTTGATAAAATGGGTAAATGTAGTAACCACATTGTTTTTTCATGTGAAACCTTCATAAAAAATTTTAATTAAAAATAATAAATAAATAAATAAATAACCCTGATATGACCTTAAGCAAACTATTTACCTCCTCCTGTCTCCAAAAACTGGGGATGCCAACCCTTACTACACAAATAAAAAGACTAAAATGAGGTCATATACACGAAGCCCACGTATCTGCCAGATAGCAAGCCTTGAGTAAATTTGCTTTCTCTTCTTTGTTCCCCTTCTCAGTCATAAAGCTACCCTGTCTCTTCTGCCTTCCCTGCCTTCTCTAACAATACCTCTACCCCTGCCCCAGGAGAAACCTCCCACTTCATAAAGACAGCAGCCATTCAGATATAGTCAGTCATTCACACTGCACGCCGAGCTGTGTGCTTCCCCCAAACCCTATCACTGCCACCACCGCCCACCCCATCACTTTCCTGGAGGATGCTCACACTCAGAGTGTCACTCACATAGCACGCACCGTGACCAGGGCCATCTGCAGTGGCGTGCTGCATCCCTGCAGCTTACCTTCACACTGCGTGGCAATGGCCCAGGAACACAGTCAAGGTATGAAACCCAACATGGTATGGTGTTACCATAGTTCTGACACTGGCTGCACTTACTCTCTTTTCCTGCAGTCAGACCTGCACCTTCAGGTGTGAGAAACTAAAGAATAAATGTAGTTGTAATCTGTCATAAATAAAATAAAATCCCATGTTGTTCATCCAGATGGGGTGAAGTTTAAATCACTCAATCCCTTGATGAGTCCTGAAGCGATGGCACCAGTTCACAAGCACAGCCCAGTCCCTCTGCATGTCACTCATCAGTTCACCCTCCTGGAAGATGGCTTCACAGCCTTTCTCTGATGTATGTGGCCTGGATCCCACAACTTCTATTACACTCAGGTACAGACTCATCTCCATACCCTTTTTGGGCAGGGGATTGGTACCAAACCACTCTCCGTCTTCTGTTCTCCATTCTAGATCCCAGTATTTGTGTCTCTCTGTCATATTTTCTTTTTGTTTTGGTTCTTCTGTTATTTTATTTGGGGAGAATATCATTGTTTAAGCATTATTAATCTTTTTTTATAATATCTCATTCATGGCTTTTTGATACATACCTATTACAAAAGCAAATTCTATTCATTCACTCAACAATTATTTACTGAGTGCCAACAAGGTGTCTATCACTAAAGCTGCAGTAGAGTTCATCTCACTTAGAGAACTAAGGTCAACAGGTTGGAATATGGATATAGTCTTTTCACCAAACTATACAGAGTAAGAAACAATACTGATCTGAAGCAATAATTATCAAAGACCTTTCTTTCACAGGGCATAGGAAAAATTAATACTTTAAATAGCATGATAAATCCAAGGAATGCAAAAAGAAGAAAAAAGAGCCCTCTTCTATTTTATGAAATGGATCGATAATTTAGAATTAGAACAAAGAAAACATTTCCAAACCTCATATCCACTGTATTATTCGACTCATGGTCAAACACTTCAAAAGCTTCTTTGATTTTTTTGTGAAATTCTGCTACTGCTAATTCTGCAAAAGATAAAGTAAATTAAATTTATTTTAATTTTGAATTCAAAATAAAAATTTCCATAACTACACTAGAAATTATTAATAAGAACAGAGTCCTAACCTTGTTAATGTATGAATAATTATGCAAAATTAAAAAATTTTAATTATTCACATTCTCTTTACCCTAACCTAACTACTAAACAATTAATTCCTAATCCCTTAATGGCAGAGAATGGGGTGGTACGGTGGTTTAGGAAAGTCGGCCTCAGTGATAAGATGACATTCATGCAGACCTGAAGGAAGGAAAAGGCCAGCCTGATGAGCACCTGCAGGAAGAGCTTTTAGGCAGAGAACAGCAGAGGGAGAATGGTAGGAAACAGGCGTGAATCTGTAGGACAGAGTCCACAGGGCTCTTGAGGCTACTTTAAGGATTTTTTTTTACTTTGAATGAGATGAGAAGCCACTGGAGGGATTCTAGCAGTGACGGGACATGGCCTGGCTTAGATCTGCTTAGGTTATTACAGTAAGAATATGCTGGAAAGGGATGAGGGTGGAAGGAAGCTGCTGCAGTGCTCTGGGTGAAAAACTGATGGTACTTAGTCCAGGATGGTGGCAGGGAGGTTGTAAGAAGGGAGGACTCTGGATGTGTTCTGACAGCAGAACCAGCAGCACTTGCTGACAGGTTTGATGCTACGTGCAGAGAAGAAAAGGGGTGAGGCTGACTTCAAGGTATTTGGCTGAATGGACGAATAAAGGAAAAAATACAATCAAGTCTCAAAATCTGTTTTTGAAATAGTAAGTACAATAGTACAAAGGGAGAGATTAAGTATGAGTTTAGGTAATTATTTTAGTTATAAATACCATCAAATTGTAGAAAATGGGGAATTTTTAATTACTCACATTCCCTCTACCCTAATATCATCACTAATCATTCCACTGTATTTCCCTACCTTCCTTCATACACAACCTTTTACATATACATTTAATAACTACTATTCATCCACTCAACAAAAACTTAGAATGAGCTTACTAGGTACCAGGTTCTGCGTCAGGTGCCGCATCTACATTTATAGCCAGAGAGGTAAGCATCTCATTTTTAGAAAAAAGAAATCAAAGCTCAGAGAGGTTAAACAACTGACCCGGTATCAGAGGTGCCAAGTGGCAGAGTGGGAGTGAACCAGATCTTTCTCACTTGAGGGATCTGCTCTCTACCACCTTCTACCCCACCTAAATAACTGCTATGCCCATAGTTTAAAAACTGTAACTCCTAACATCTTCACTCCAATGTTATATTTTTCCAGGTTAGAACATAATCTACATAACCTTCAACTTTTAACAGTACCAAAGGAATATAACACAATTTACTGATATTATTATAAATATGGCAGTGAACTTTTGCTAATAAGCAAAAAATAACTATCTCATTATTTAAAATTACATTACTTCGATTATAAGTGAGTCTGAATAAAGACCCATATGCTTGTGTATCACCTCTATTTTCTATGTTATGAATTGTCCATGTTCTCTGCTCATCACTATTAGGATCTTCCATTTTTTTCTCAACAATTTGTATGATCTCTTCAAATAATAAAGACTTAACCTATGTTATAATTACTGTAAACAATTTTCCAGGTCAGTTGTTTGCATTTGTTTTTCTACAAAAACTGTTCCATCTTCTGTTTTTAAAAAACTGTTCCATCTCCTTTCTGATCATCAAACTCATATATGATTATTGGAGAAAAAAAAGGATATGGAAGAAAGAACTTAGATTAAGTAAAAATCACTTTAAATTCTACCATGCAGAGTTAACTACTCTTATTGTTGTCCTCTAACCTAATTTTTCACTCAACAATTATGAGCACCTTTCATTCTCAAAAACTATTTATTACATTACCATTTTTATGTTTGCTTGGCATTCCATTATAGAGCTTTATAATAGGTTATTTAGGCAACTCCCTAGACGTACACATTTAAGTTGTTTATGATTTTCCATTGTTATAATTTTAGTGAACAATTTTGCCCAGTTCATCTTTCTGCCTTTGTCATATTATCTCACTGAAATACAATGAGTTGAACGCAGTTGAATTTGTGTGGGGTATTGGGCAGGTTCTTATTATCATAATAGTACCTTGGGAAAACCTCACTGGTTATATAATACTGTTACTTCACAAAGCTGGTATTTGCTTTTTAAATTTAAGATTATTTTTAAAGTTTATTATCTTTTGTTTTTATGTAGTCACATCTGTTCAGATTTTTGTATCATTCTTTAAAGCTTAGAAACTTATCCTTTGAGGAATTTCTGGGCTGGTAAGCATGTGGATGTCCTGGCACAGTGACACAACCAAGAGAGGGCATGGGAGCTCCACAACCTTCCCTCATACCTTGCCCTGGCTGTTCTCTTCACCTGGCTATTCCTGAGTTAGGATCTCAGAATAAATATCAGAGGTTGCTTAGTCCAGCTTTTGATTGCAGTAGTGCTGTTTTCTACAATATGCATGAAGTACAGCTCTCCAGCCTTTGCCTAATCACCTCTGCAGCATAGAAAACCACCCTAGGGCAGCCTACCCCAAAGGTAGAGAGTTCTATTATAAAATGTGTTCTTATATTGTGATGGTGACACATTACTAAGCATAAATGATTTTCTTATTATTCAAAAGTTCTTGAGAGAGGAATTATTCTAACTTTTAATCTGGGTCTAAATACAGAATACATGCACTCCAGTGTGTATGCAAGACAATTCAATGGACCATGGAAAGAAAATATTACAATTCCACATATTAAAAAAAAGAAAGAGAACTTACACTTTAAAGGATCATGACGGAGGGGGAAAATCATCCTTTTTCTGGAGATTTGGTAAATACTCAACTCTATTTTCTCATATAATTTAAAAATATATTTACTCTTTAATCCATGTGAAATTTATCTTCACTTGATTCAAAGTGAAAGATTAATTTCTAACCGTAGTGTAGTAATTTCTCATTTATTAAGAATCTGATTTCTTTCCTCCTACTTTATAATGTGTTATAGGCTTTTAAGTGATAGAAACTACCTCTGTTCATTGCACTACTGATTCCATCTTGATTTGCATTTTTAGTCATATGCAATTACCATACTATTTTATTTATTGCCCCTGTATTGGTCCTGTTTAGAAATGTTCATTAATATTCCCACCAGCTTATTCTTCTAAAGGAAATGTGGAAATCCATATAAAATTTAGAAATTCCAAATAAAATACCACTGGGCATTGTATTACTATCACAATGAAGCTATACACTGAGAAAAAATTAACACTTTATGATATTTAGTTTTCACATCGAAGAGATACATAGTAGATACAGATCCATTTTCCTATGCTCAGTTGAACATTATGTATTATGGTTTTCCCCACATAAGTCACACACAATTCTACAAGAAGATTATGCCTGAGTATTTTATGTGGTTTGTAATACTGAAAGGGAATCTTTTTTAAATGTTATAATTTTTCAAATTTGGGGTAAATACTTAAATTTTTTTGCTATTTATATTCATTTATGTCTTGAAATTTTTAATAATTATAATCCCTTTTCAGTTGATTATTTTATATTTTCTGACAGTACATTTTGTCTCTCCTTTTCAAAATGTATGCTTCTTGTATGTTCATGACTTATGACAATAACCAGAACTAGCAAAACAACTTTAATGTATGAAGTGATAGTGATGATCCTTGTTTTTAAAAAACTTTTATTATTTAGGAGAAATGACAGCCACTTCAACAACTGATGTTGGCAAAAATGGACAGCTACATGCAAGAGAATGAAACTGAATTATTGTCTAACCCCATACACAAAAGTAAACTTGAAATGGATCAAAGACCTGAATGTAAGTCATGAAACCATAAAACTCTTAGAAAACAACATAGGCAAAAATTTCCTGAATGTGTAAACATGAGAAACTTCTTCCTGAACACATCTCCTCAAGCAAGGAAAACAAAAGCAAAAATGAACACATGGGACCACATCAAACTAAAAAGCTTCTGTATGGCCAAGGACACCATTAACAGAACAAAAAGGCATCCTACAGTATGGGAGAATATATTTGTAAATGGCATATCTGACAAGGGGTTAACATCCAAAATATATAAAGAACTAACATGCCTCAACACCCAAAAAGCAAATAACCCTATTAAAAAATGGGCGGAGGATAAGAAGAGACAATTCTCCAAAGAAGAAATTCAGATGGCCAACAAACACATGAAAAGATGCTCCACACCACTAATTATCAGGGAAATGCAAATTAAAACCACAATGAGATATCACCTCATACCAGGAAGGATGGCCAGCATCGAAAAGACTTAAAACAACAAATGCTGGTGAGGATGCGGAGAAAGGGGAATCCTCCTACACTGCTAGTCGGAATGTAAGCTAGTTCAACTATTGTGAAAGCAACATGGAGGTTCCTCAAAAAACTAAGAATAGAAATACCATTTGACCTAGGAATCCCACTTCTTGGAATTTACCCAAAGAATACAGGTCCTCAGATTCAAAAAACTATATGCACCCCTAAGTTTATCACAGCACTAATTCAAGATATGGAAGCAACCTAAGTGCCCATCACTAGATGAGTGGTTAAAGAAGAGGTGGTACATATACACAATGGAATACTATTTGGCCATAAGAAAGAAACAAATCCTACCATTTGCAACAACATGGATGGAGCTGGAGGACATTATGCTCCGTGAAATAAGCCAGGCGGAGAAAGACAAGCACCAAATGATTTCCCTCATTTGTGGAGTATAACAATGAAGCAAAACTGAAGGAACAAAATAGCATCAGACTCACAGACTCCAAGAAGGGACTAGTGGTTACCAAAGGGGAGGGGTGAAGGAGGGAGGGTGGGGAGGAAGGAAGAAGGGGATTGAGGGGTATCATGATTAATACACATGTCATGGGGAAGACAGTGCATCTCAGAGATGACAATTAGGGACTCTGAGGCATCTTACTACACTGATGGACAGTGACTACAATGGGGTATGGAGGGGGACT